GTCACTGTGGCCGTAGCCAAGATAAAGCAGGTGAGTCACTGTGGCCGTAGCCGAGATGAAATAGGTGACACGTAGTCACTGTGGCCGTAGTCGAGGTGAAATAGGTGACACGTAGTCACTGTGGCCGTAGCCGAGGTGAAATAGGTGACACGTAGTCGCTGTGGCCGTAGCCGAGGTGAAATAGGTGACACGTAGTCACTGTGGCCGTAGCCAAGGTGAAATAGGTGACACGTAGTCACTGTGGCCGTAGCCGAGGTGAAATAGGGACTTGACAATTTTCGTGTAAGTATATGTTAAAGGGGTTTATAATGGGCCTGAAATGGGCCTATTTATGGACTACTAAAGCTGGTTAATGCAGAAGACGACAGCTGTCATGGAAGAACGTGTAGTAATAAATATCGTCTGCAGAAAGTAACCATCACATTCGAAAGGACGCGGCGTTAGACTAAACGGCGAATTTGAAAGGGCACAGTCGTGGCGGTTTAAGAAAGTTAATTGTGGCCGTCAAAGTACGTTTTACCGTCATATATATACGTGGAGTTAGAAAAATCCGACCCATTTTGCTGTTAGCGTCTGGAAAAGTCACCGGCTTGCCTGCACTCAAGATTGTTCGTCCGTTGTCAATAAAAACCAGGTAATTTGCGAGGATTTGAGTGTCTTCTTTCTACCTTTCTTTGTTGTGAGGATGTCTTCTGAAGAGACACTTAGCGACGGTAGAGTGAGGGGGATGGTTGAGGGGGCAGAGAGTAGGGATTTGGGGGTGCGGTCGAACATTCTGGAGAGAGAAGATGGGAGAGAGCCGTGTTTCAACCCTGAGGAGGAAGTTGTTAGTGAGGTGGCAGGATATGAAACAACTTTGGAGAATAGGGGTAGTTTGGCCCACTTGGTTGAGAACTATGGGGTGCCCGGTCGTGTGTTGGTGAGGCCGGCGGGGAGTAGAGAGAGGGCGTGTTCGGCCCCGGGGGACCATTGGATGCCTCTCTACTCCCATTACCTAGCAGCTGGGTTGCGGTTCCCTCTCCCAGACCTGCTGGTGTGGTTGTTGTTGGAGTATGGTCTGGGGCTAACGCAACTCACCCCCAATGCCGTGAGGTTAGTGGTGGCGTTTGCAATGTATAGCCGAAGTCGGGGGGTAAGTTTTCCCACTGCTAACGTATTCAAGTACTTTTATGTCTTGAACGCTGGTAGTGGTAGGGAGAAGGGGTGGTACTATTTTACGGGCCGGGTAGCGAATAAGCAGAAGAGGGGTTTGTTTAGCGCCGGGCCATCTTCCATTAAGGGTGGAAAGATAAGTTCTTTTTTGCGGATGACACGGAGTGGGATAAGACTGATGCTGAGGTGGAGCACTTGAGTCGCTGGAAGGCGAAAGGGTTAAACCTCAACGAGTATAGTCTGACCCCGGGGGAGATAGAGGATGTGGAGGAGTTGGAAAGGGGGGGTGGGTTTGCTGGACGTTATGGAATATACGAGCCAGAGGATGTTAGATGTGACTGAGATACATGGGCCGAGCTCACAGAAGGGAGGTGCGGGAGGTGTGTAACCTTAATTGTTAATTTAGTTTGAGAATTCTGATCAGAGTTTAACCTTGTTTTGTTTTGCAGAAGAGATGAACAAGTTTTTGGACGCGGCCGGTGGAGCTGGAATTCCAAATAAGGGAAGAGGGAAGAGAAGCGAGGTCAAGAGGCGGGGGGAGGAAACTTCAATGCCTCAAGCCGAAGTGGGAAACTTGGCCATTTCTCAGCCTGGCCACGTTGGAGGTGAAGTGACAGTGGCTGAGGAAGGGCCCATTGTTGCGAAGAGGAAAAGGTTCGAGCAACAAGAGGTCATGGAGGAGATACCGGAGCCTGAGCCTGTGGCGGCGCCCCTTCGCCTAGAAGGGACCTCGTCAGCTTCGGCTGCTGAGTTCGCTGCTGCGCTCCGAGAGCAAGGATACATCCGAGCGCCCACAACAAGCTTCTATGACTCCGGGATGAGGAGCACAGCCAAGAGGTTTATCAACGCCTATTTCCCGGAGGTGGACCGCCAGCGCGCGAAGGACGAGGTGGCCGCCAGAGGTTCAGTTGGCGTTGTTCGTCAGGCGCTGGAGGTATGGTACTTTGACTTCGCCTAAGGTTTGGGGATTACCATTGTGAATTTGTTTGGCGATCTGAAATTGTGCTATTATGCAGGCTGTTAACCTCGTGAATGCTTTGGCCAATGAGCATCACGAGAGTTTAAAAGAGAGGAGTCAGATGAAGAAGGAGAATGTCGAGCTTGTTAAGAAGGGCGAGGCTGCTGAAGCCGAGGTGGCGAGGTTGAAGGCGGAGATGGAGGAGCTTCGGAAGGAAAACGCCACCCTCAAAAAGGAATCGGAGATCTCGTACCAAAAAAGGAAGATATGCGAGGCCGAGTTGGAGAGGAGGGAGAAGGAGGTGGAGGAGGCGGGGAAGGTGGTGGCTGAGTTGGAGCTCAAGGTTCACAACTCGGTTGAGGAGCATGTGGAGGGGTTCCTGAGGTCCAGCACCTTCGAGGACATCGTCAACCTCTACCGTCTTCCCACTGCCATCGTGGCCTTCTCTGACTGCCGGAAGAAGGTGAAGCTGCAATATCCTGCTGTGGATGTGACGAAGATCACCTTCGGAGAGCAGGAAAGGGAGGTGGAGGAAAATGGAGAGAGCAGTACTGCTGACTTCCGCCCGGAGGTAACACTGAAGTGGGAGAAGGACAGTAGGGGTCAAACCATTTTGCCTCCCAAGTTCAGTTTTGAATTTGTGGTGGTGGGCGAGGAAGACGAAGGCGACGAGGTCACTGAAGGTGCTAAAAAGCCAGCTAAAGGTGCTGACCAGCCAAATCAGCTTGTTGATAACCCCGAGCAGCCTGCGGCTAGCCCGAGCCAAACCGTTGACTAGATTTGGCCTCGGGTTTTTTTTTTTTTTTTTTGAGAGATATTCTTTGTAATCGATTGGAAATTAATGGAATGAATTTGATTTTTTTTTTATTGCGTCTGTGATCCAAAATAGGAGAAGTTAAAATGACATTGTTAATATAATTAAGTTTGAAGAAGTGGAATTGACTTCGTCCTTAATTGACGTCGTCTTCAATTGTACTGGGATGTTATTTACAAAAAGATGCCTAACTCAGAATAAAGAAAGGAACTTTCAAGGATGGAATTTTTTAAGATTGTTGACGTTCCAAACTCTAGGCACCCTTTTGCCCTCGGCATCCTGGAGAATGTATGCTCCGGGGTGCAGGACCTCGGTTACAATGTAAGGGCCTTCCCAATTTGGTGCTAGCTTGCCATATCGGGTCTCGAACCCTGTGAGCCAGCTTTTCTGAGGACGAGGTCACCGACTCTGAAGTTTTGAGGTCGGACTCGCTTATTGTAAAGGTTGGCTATTCTTTGTTTGTATGCTAGAGTCCGAAGTCGGGATTGCTCTCGAACTTCGTCTAGGAAATCAAGGTTTTCCCTTAGTAGACGCTCATTTTGAGCTAGTTCAAAGTGACTAATTCTTAGGCTTGGGACACCAATTTCGACAGGAATGACTGCCTTGGTGCCGAAGGCTAAGTGGTAGGGCGTTTCGCCTATTTGCAGGAGACTAAATTTAGGATTTACCTTAAAGGGTAGTCTGTAACTGTAAATAAGGTAATAGAAAAGAGAATCAAAGTGAGGGACATACCTGTGGCAGTTCGGCTTGTTGTCCGGTAAGCCCACAAGACGTTGTTGAGTTCATCTACCCACTTTGTTTTCAGCTGATCTAACCTCGGCTTGATTCCTTCCAAGATGGCTTTGTTGATGATTCAATCATTCCATTGGCCTCGGGATGATAGACAGAGGTGAACACCAACTTAATCCCATAGCTGGAGTAGAAGTCCCTGAAGGAGTTACAATTGAACTGGGGGCCGTTGTCAACGATAATCTGGTTTGGTATTCCATATCTGCAGATGACCAAGCTGAAGATGAAATCCTCGATTCTTCTCGAAGTCAGACAAGAGAGAGGTTTGGCTTCTACCCATTTGGTAAAGTAATCAACAGCGACCACTAAATGCGTTGCTCCTCCTACTGCTTTGACAAAGGGGCCCAGAAGGTCTACTCCCCATTGAGCAAAGGGCCATGGTGCAGTGATGCTAGTGAGTTCTTCGGCTGGCTGATGGGTGAGATGGGCGAAGAACTAGCATTTCTGGCACCTCTGCACGAATTTCTTTGCATCTTCTTGCATGTTAGGCCAATAATACCCTTGCCGAAGTACCTTATGCGCCAGAGTTCGGGCTCCCACGTGACTACCGCATACCCCCTCGTGTACTTCCCTTAGTGCATACTCTACTTCATATGGTGTCAGGCATCTGAGGAGTGGTAACGAGTAGGACCTCTTGTACAGAACGTCGCCAACTAGGGTGTACCGAGAGGCTTTTCTTCGCAACTTCATCTCTTCCTGTTTGTCCCCTGGGATGGTACCATTGAGGAGGTACTCCCAGATGGGATCTGTCCAACTCGGAGCATCTGGGTTAGTGCTGATCTCCATCACCGTCGACGTCTGAAAGCTCGGTTCATTCAGTATCTCGATGTACACAGACTTTGCTTCCCCAGAGTTCTCAGATGCTAATTTCGACAAAGAATCTGCATGCTCATTTTCTGTTCTCGAAATTTTTGTAAGCTGGAATTTCTCGAAACGGTTCTTCAGCTTAGAGACTGCGGCCACATATCTCGCCAGGATGGGATCAATGACTTCGCACATAGAATTGATTTGGTTAACTACCAGCTGTGAGTCACTGTAAATCTGTAGGCGTTTGACTTTGAGCTCGGCCGCTAAACGCAATCCTAGGAGGAGGGCTTCGTACTCGGTCACGTTGTTTGTGGCCTGGAAGTTGAACTTCAAAGCGTGTTCACTCTGGAAGCTGTCAGGTCCAGTTAATACTTCTCCAGCTCCTGAACCCTTGTTATTAGATGATCCATCGACATACAGGGTCCATGTTTCTGCCCCAGAATTTGGTTCCACCTGATTAGAGGTGCATTCGACCACGAAATCTGCCAAAGCTTAAGCTCGGATTGCCGACCTCTGCTGGAATGCTATCTGAAACTCTCCCAGCTCTACTGCCCATTTGATGAGTCTCCCAGAGCATTCTAGTTTCTGCAAAATCTGTCTTAAAGGCTGATCAGTCATCACAATAATAGGATGGGATTGGAAATATGGCCTCAACTTCCTTGCAGTAACAACAACTGCTAGGGCTGCCTTTTCTGCTATTGAGTACCTCTGCTCAGCTCCCTGCAGCACCTTACTGGCATAGTATACTGGTTGCTGTTGTTTCCCCATTTCCCTAACCAAGACAGAACTGACAGCAGTATCAGATATTCCGAGGTAAAGATAAAGGATTTCACCTTCTTGAGCCTTAGTCAGTAGAGGCGGCGAGCTGAGGTAGGCTTTGAGCTCGTCAAAAGCCACCTAGCACTCCGTCGTCCAGTTGAACTTCTGGTGTTTTCCCGTTTCATCCTTTTGAGTTGCAGTTCTTAAGACCTTAAAGACAGGCGGACACTTATCTGCTGATTTGGAGATAAATCTGTGCAGTGCTGCTACTCTCCCTGCCAGACGTTGCACGTCCTTGGTTGACCTCGGCGGTTTCATTTCTTCTATTGCCTTTATCTTCTCAGGGTTGACCTCTATCCCCCTTTTAGAAACCATGAAACCCAGAAACTTACCTGATTCAACGCCGAAAGTGCACTTTGCTGGGTTCAACTTCATGCTACACCTTCTAAGGTTGTTGAACGTCTCAGCCAGGTCGGTCAAGTGGTCTTCTTCTCGAGAACTTTTGACAACAATGTCATCTACATAGACCTCCAGGTTTCTGCCAATTTGAGCCTGAAACACGATTGTGACCATTTTCTGGTATGTTGCTCTTGCATTTTTGAGCCCAAACGGCATCATCACATAGCAGTATATTTCATCTCCGGCATAAAATGTGGTTTTCACCTCATCCTCGGGTGCCATGCGGACTTGATGATACCCCGAGTAAGCATCCAAGAGGCTTAACCTCTCATTCCCTGAGGCAGCCTCTACCAGCTTGTCTATGCTAGGCATGGGATGACAGTCTTTAAGGCAGGCATCGTTGAGGTTGGTATAATCGATGCACATACGCCACTTCCCGTTTGACTTTTTTACCATGACAGGGTTGGCAATCCATTCGCAGTAATCTACTCTCCTGATAAACCCTGCTTGCAAAAGCTTCTTCACTTCCTCCTTAATAGCTATGAGTCTTTCCCCCCCGAAAAGCCGTCTCTTCTGTGCCACTGGCTTCCTCAAAGGATCAGTGCTGAGTTTGTGTACTGCCACCGAAGTTGGGATTCCAGGCATGTCAGCCGAGGTCCATGCAAACACATCCTTATTTGCTTTTAGGAAGCCCACGACCTTTTCTTTTTCTATGGGAGTCAGCTTCGTGCCGATCTGAGTCTTCTTGGATGGGTCATTATCATCAAGTTGTACCTCTTCGACCTCCTCGACCGGGGTGGCTCTTGG